ACAATCCAAACAAACAGAAAAATAGATTAGGAGGGTCAGACTAAAAAGACAGTTGGTAGGAGATTAAGCTACTCAATGATATGAGTTTTGATTTTTGTATCACTGTCTAATTATAATATATAAATATATATAAATATATTATTTATATATAAATATATAAATAATACTCAAAATTAATGAAGTAATTTTGGTCTACTATAAATTTTAGTTTACTTATATTGACATAACTTTTCTGTTAGTTATAAAGGCACCTCGTTTTTATCTTTAATACCAGCTTAATTGAATTTTTTAACAAGATGAAGAAGTGGGAAGACATGGCAAACCTACCCCCACACTTCAGAGAACGTACTGAAAGATTAGAAAGAAACTTCACTGTTTCTGCTGTAATTTTTAAGAAATATGAACCCATTTTTCAAGATATTTTTAAGTATCCCCAGGAGGAACAACCTCGTCAGCAAAGAGGAAGAAAACAGCGGTATGTTTTATATTTGTTATTTGGGAATCACCTTTTTTCTGTGGTATAGCTTGAGCTCTGTTACTCTTTAAAAAGAAACATGGTTTTCATAAATTCCCACCCCCCAAATTTTCTTTCAATTTTTTCCCCCTCTTTGCTGTATAATAGTAAGAGTCTGGCTTCTTTAGGTCATGTTTGTGTGAACTTTCTCTTTTAAGTAACCAAAAGTGCAGCCTGCATGAGTCAGACCCTGGGAGCTTTCACCAACTGATGACCTTGGTATAGACAACATACTTATATTTTCTATTTCTGTTACTTGACCTTTATGTCAGACTGAGTAATAATAATGTCCTGAAATGACTGATGTTCATAACAGTCAAGGGAAGAGAAGCTGGATGAAGTGAGAACAAGGAAGCTGAAGCACTGTGAACTTGCTTTCTGCTCAGGTGTGCAAAGTCAGCAGCTCCTCGGGCTTAGTGTTCTTCCTTACAACTTATGGCCATTATGGGGTACAAAGGCTCCTCCTTTAACATCCAAGTTTGTCTAAAATAGAAAGGGAAATATTGTTCTTTTTGTTGTTTGTGTTCTTTTTTTGAGACAGGGTCTCCCTATAGCCCCAGCTGGCCTGGAACTCATTGTGTAGACCAGGCTGGCCTTGAACTCACAGAGATCCACCTGCCTCTGACTCCCAAGTGGTGGGACTACAGGCATGTGCCATCATGCCTGGCAAAATTTTGTTCTTAAAATAGGATTAGAGGACTGGAGAGACGGCTCAATGGTTAAGGGCCCTGGCTGCTCTTGCAGAAGACCTGGGTTCAATTTCCAGCACCCACATGGTGGGGAACAACCATCTGTAACTCCAGTTCCAGGGGCTCTGATGCCCTCTTCTGACCTCTACGGGCATTACATGACATGGGTGCACCTACCCATATGCAGACGATACATTCATGCACATAAAATAAGAATAAATAAAATTAAATTTAAAAGATCATACTTCTTTAAAAAAAATAGGACTAGAAAAGTACTAATAAGAAATGTACAGGATGCTGGGTGAGGCTATACACAGCAGTATGTACAGGAGGCTGGGTGAGGCTATACACAGCTGTATGTACAGGAGGCTGGGTGGGGCTATACACAGCTGTATGTACAGGAGGCTGGGTGGGGCTATACACAGCAGTATGTACAGGAGGCTGGGTGAGGCTATACACAGCTGTATGTACAGGAGGCTGGGTGAGTTTATACACAGCTGTATGTACAGGAGGCTGGGTGAGGCTATACAGAATTCCTCTATGTACAGAAGGCTAGGTGTGGCTACACACAGTTGTAATCTCAGCATTCAGGAGGCTGAGGCAGGAGGATCACCTGGACTACATATGAGAGCTCTTGTCTCAAAAAAATCCCAAAATCCCCAAAACAAACAACAACAAAAAAACCCCAAATAGGAAGGAGTGTCAATGTGTAGATGCACTAGCCTTTAATTTTCTAGGTAGCCCAGGCTAGCCGCAAACTTGTAATGATCCTCCTACCTCAGCCTCCCAAGTGGGATTCTGAGAAAGTACCACCATCCTCAACTTTTATAGCGATGTATTCTGAACTTTGGATACAAGCTTTATTTTGAGTCTTGGTAAGGTAAGTGTAATCACATTTATAGAAAATACACATTTTTTTTCTTTAGAATATCTAGACAATGATTTCATACTGCTCTTGTTTGGTCTGTGTTAGGTTGTATATATTATCCAATTCTTTAAGAAACTTGTAAAACTACCTTAAGAATTTTACATTGACATTATTCTTTTTTGCGGGGAGGGGAGATGGGGTCTCCCTGTAGCCCCAGCTGGCCTGTAACTTGCTATGTAGACCAGGCTGGCCTTGATCTCCTGAGTGCTGAGATTAAAGGCGTGCATAATTTCTATACTTTTGGGGGATGTTGCTGGAAATTGAATGCAAAGAGGTGTGCACGCTAAACACACACACTAATGTTGATTTATAACCTCACTTGATAGTTTTCTATAAAGTTTATAGTTTTCTATACAGTCTTCTGTGTAGCCCAGGCCAGCCTCAAACTTGCTATCTTCCTGCCTCAGCCTCCCATATACAGGATTACAGGCATGCACTGTCACACCCAGCTCACTCTATAGTCTTTATTAGTACTTACTGTAGTGTGTGTGCTATTAAGCAAGGTCTCCCAAGACTTCTCCATGTGGTATGACAACCTTATGAGGCTGTGACTACTTAAACATGGGGAATTAAGCTGGGTATGGTGGTGCATGCCTGTAGTCCCAGCACTTGGGAGGCAGAGGTAGGCGGATCTCTGTGAGTTCAAGGCCAGCCTGGTCTACATAGTGAGTTCCAGCTGGGGCTACAGGGAGACCCTGCTTCAAAAAGACCGAAAAAAATAAAAAACAAAAAACTGGGAAATTAAGTCCCTCGGAGGCATTCCGTGCACCTGATGAGGACATAGACTGACTGCAGAGCCTGTGCACTTCACCACAATGCTATACTGCCTCTCAGAACTGTAAAAAGTCTGTTGCTATTTGTTAGATACACAGCAGCATGAAATACTTTGTTAGGTATTATGTTGGAGATAGGGATTCAAAAACAAAACCTACAGTCTCTCTTGAGAGTTGACAGAATAGTCAGGGAGAGGAAACAACATACTATAGTATTCATGTGAGCACAGTAGATGTAGAAATGTGGGATTTCTGAGAAAAATATAAATCTAGATGAGCCAGTCTGATCAGCCTCCATGGAGTAGAAATGGGCCTCACAAGAATGAGGCAGGATTTGGCAGCTGATTGTAGATATATAGATGGAGCCTTTGATTCAGAGGATAGGAATAGACACAGACCTAGGAAAACAAGAGGAAATTTGGGAACAAGTAGGTTAGTAAAGTTTTTTCTAGGAGTCTAAAGTTAATTAAAATTTAGAGTAGCTTAAGTACTACAAGATAAAAAATTTAACTTTTATTATGGTAGTTAATCAAAATCAGAAATAGTTTATCAGACACTTTTTTTGTGACAGGGTCTCCTATAGCCCAGGTGATCTTGAATTTGTTAAATAGCCAAGGATGGCCTTGAACTCTGAATCCTTCTAACTCCTGAGTGCGGTGGAAGGCAAACATGATTCTGACATTTAATCTTTACTATAACCATGGCCTAGTAAATTAAGTCCAGGATTATTTCCAAATAGAATAACTTTTTGGTAGATGAAGGACCGAGGCCCAGGGGAACAAGTATACATGCTCATGGTAGTTCTGGAACTAAACCCAATTTCTTGTTCTTCTCCAGGGTATTTTGCTCTTCTTGGTTCCTTGTTAGATCATGCTGCTGTAAAACTGGGCATGGTGGCACACACCTAGCACTTGGCAGATAAAGGCAGGGGATCAGGAATTCAACATCATCAGTCACATAGCAAGTTTGAGGTCAGTCTAGATTACTGTCTCAAAAAATAATAAAACAGAAAATAATGCTGTTGAGATATGGGCACCATAGAAGTCTAGATTAAACATTGCAGAGATTTTGGCAGAAAAGCCAACAGGTCTGAAATTCTCTTTAGCAGACAACTTGTCCAAATACAATAGGTATTCTCAAGAGATGGAAGTATAAGGTACTATAGGAAGGTCAAAATTTGCATCAAAACAGCTTTTCTTGGTTTGACATTGTGAAGAATATCTTTAGGGAGAGAGTCTTCCAGTTCATCAGCTATGGTAGAGAGGGATAAAGGGGAGGACCTTGCTGTGTCAGCTATGATAGAGAGGGATAAAGGGGAGGACCTTTTGTCAGCTGTGGTAGAGAGGGTTAAAGGGGAGGACCTTGGGGATGGAGAGATGGCTCAGCGGTTAAGAGCACTGACTGCTCTTGCAGAGGACCCGGGTTTGATTCCCAGCACCCATATGGCGGCTACAAACCACCCTTACTCCAGTCCAGGAGAATATGAAACCCTCTTCTGACCTCCGCAGCATTGCACAACATGGGTGCACTCACCTACATGCAAGCAATACACTCATACACATAAAATAAAAATAATAAAATATTTTTTTAAAAAGGTGGGGGGAGGACCTTGCTGTGTCAGCTAAGGTAGAGGGGGATAAAGGGGAGGACCTTGCTGTGTCAGCTAGGGTTGAGAGGGATAATGGGGAGAACCTGACTGCCTGAGGTCCTGAAGCAGTATTAGATGTGCTAATGTCATTAAAAGAACTATTGGTTTTCATTTTACTTTCCACCTTACTTATCTTGACCTCAAAACTTTGAAAATTTTTTTTTTCCTCCTTTCTGAGATGATCTCTTTCTCTGACTCCCAGCTGTTTCTTCTCAGTATTTGGTTAGGACAGAACTTCTTGCACATTTTTCCTGTACTGAGTCTGATGTCACTCGTTGACTGTGGGTTTTGTTTTACACCTAATTTGCAATCATTTGGGATGGTTTTTTTGTAATTCTTCTGTTTGTCTCATGACTTTTTTTTTTTTTCCTCCTCTAAAGGCGACAGCCCTGTACCGTGTCTGAAATTTTCCATTTTTGTTGGGTGCTTTTTATATATGCAAAAGGTAAGAAAAGAGTAATATTTATTTAGACATGAATTAGCTCATCTAAGTTTTCGGATACTAATTTTATCAGCGTATATTATGTATCAGGAAGAGAATCTTCTGATTATTTTTACAGTATCCAAATTTTCTCTTACTAAATATTCTTTCATTTTATTCTTATACCATCTTTTTGACCCAAAGCTGTTCTTTTGAATTATGAACTGGAACTGCCTTGTTCTGTATACTAGCTTTATTTGGAGCAGTGTTCTTCATGACACATGTGTGAGTCATCTGGGTGGGACTGACCAGAGTAGTTGAGATGGCCTTGCATGCTGATCACATAAATATACTAAACATCATCAGATATTTAGACACCACTTTTTTTTCTCTCCTTCTCATTCCATTTAATCTTCATTCATTGAAACTTATATCTATTATTTTTGTATATTTCTATGTAGGAATAATTCTTAATCTAAAGGAAGAAAGTAGAGTTCTATTAGTTGACATTTTTTTCTATAGACCATGTTGCACACTGTTGCCACTCAGATAGCCCAAGAAGATGCAAAGTGTCATAGAGCTGGAAGGAATTTCATGAATGCAGTAGTCCCTTTATGTATGGGTGACACATTCTGAGGCCTGAATCCATAGATAGCTCTGATCCCCCGGTATACGTACCAATATAAAGTTTAATTTATAAATTAGGCACAATAAGAGACTAACAGCAATTACTACTAATAAAATATAAAACAATTAAAATATTATTGTAAAAGTTTGTAACTGTTCTCTCAATTATCTTACTGTACTTTAAATCTTAGCAGCCTTAGCACGTGATTTTTTTTCTTTAGCATATGATTGGAAAAAAATTTTTTTAAATCAAGAATTTTCATTGTTTCACTTAATGGAAGTACTTTCTGGCTTTTCTTTGGCAAGTTCCTGGCATCATCACATGACTTTAGGATCCTTTTTAAGTAAAATAAGGATTACATGAATAAAAGCAATAGAGCACATAACCATGAAAGCAACTACTGGATGCACAGCATATTCAGCCTGGATATGGGGCGGCACAGAGCTGGACAGAGTAGAAAAGAGGGAGGTTTCATCTACTCAGAACAATAAACAATTTAAAACATACTTTTTTTTTTTTTTTTGGTCTTTTTGAGACCAAGTCTCCCTGTAGCCCCAGATCACCTGGAATTCACTATCTCTGGCCTCACAGAGATCTACCTGCCTCTGCCTCCCAAGTACTAGGATTAAAGGCGTGCACTCATCACACCTGGCCATTTTTTTTTTTTTTAAGGCTAACTATGTAGGCCAGACTGACCTGGAACTCATGACCCTCTTGCCTCAGCCTCTCAAGTGCTGGGATTACAGGTGTCCACCTTCATAAAGAATTATTTCTTAAAATTTTCTGTTTGATACTTTTGAACTGTTGTTGATCAAAGGTAACTGAAACCACCGAAAATAAAACTGTGGATTGGAGGAAATTACTATATAAGAGATTCTCTCAGGGCTGGAAAGATGGCTTAGCAGTTAAGAGTACTGGCTCCTCTTGCAGAGGACCCAGGTTCAGTTCCCAGCACCTACATAGCAGCTAACAGCTGTCTACCTCCAGTTCCAGGAGATCTGATGTCCTCTTCTGACCTTGATGGGCACTGCATGACACAGGAGTGCTTGATACATGCAGACAATACATTCATACACATAAATAAAATATTAAAAACAAACAGAAAAAGAGATTCTCTTTATTAGATCAAGTATCTCAACTTACTCAAACATTAGGCAACTGAGGTCTCCTGGTTTCATGCTGAATGTCAAGGCATCTGCAAGAATGTGTCATGCCATTGATCTCCATGTGTGATGATTGTAGCTAATCCTCTCTAGCTCAGCAGATGAGAGTCTTCCATTCCTTTCTGAACTGTGTGCCAGTTGAAAGAAGAGTCTTTTGTTGACTGTGAGGTTTTTTTTTTTTTTTTGGTCTTTTTGAGACAGGGTCTCCCTGTAGCCCCAGCTGTCCTGGAACTGAAACTCACTATGTAGACCAGGCTGGCCTTGAACTCACAGAGATCCGCCTGCCTCTGCCTCCCGAGTGCTGGGATTAAAGGCTTGTGCCACCACGCCCAGCCCCAACTATGAGCTTTTAAGTTAGCTTTCCATCACACTGCCACTGGCAGCTTTCTTTATTCCACACAGAAGTGGCACAGCTAGGCTAGAGATATGGGTGCCTGCCATGCATAAAGCCTTGCATTCATCCTTAGCATCATAAAAAGGAGATAAAGTAAATGTGACATGAGCAACAGCATGACAAAAGCTAGGAATATATAATTTTTTATGAAAGTTGTCACATCTTTAGCATATGTGGTTGGTTACATATGCATATGGTAATCCTTTCTTACAATTGTATTCGGCTGATGTGTCTGGCTTTTAGGTTTTTTTATCTATTTTGTGTGTGCTTAGGAGAATTTGGTACTATATCAACTGTTATTTCACTATCCTTATTGTGGTTTCATTTACCTACTTGAGTAGCATGCTTTTTCTGTCTTAGCAACTATGAATTTTATCTTATTAATAATTTGATTCAAAAAACGTTTGTCCTTTCACAATCTACCACTATAATTTGATTTTTTTTACATTTATTTGTTTGTTTAGTGTGTGCGTATGTGTGTGTGTGTGTGTGTGTGTGTGTGCGCGCGCGCGCATGCTCATGCATGTAGGAGGCGAGGGGACAATTTCAGGAATTGGTTCTCTCCTTTACTATGGAGTTCCAGGGATCCAACTCTCAGGTGGTCAGGTTTGGTGGCAAATGCCTTTACCTGCTGGGCCACCTCACCGTGGAGCCTTTGCTTTTTTTTTTCAAAGGCAGGGTCTTTCTTAGGCATGATCTACCATGCCTGGCATTAGTTTTGAGATGGTAGTCTTACTGTTTTGCCCAGGCTGTATTCAGGTAGATGGGTTTTATGATGCCAGTTCTCATAGGCTAAAATTGGTTTTATTCAGTTTTTGGTTTATTTGGGGGCAGGTAGTAGACTTTGCCTACAGCATATGCACATTTTAGATTATCTTAGTCCCAATGAATAAGCTAATTCTTTGATTCCTGTCTTTGTTGGTTTGGTGTGGCAAGTAACAAGTTTGAGCCTGTCATATTTTATGCAGAAGACATGAAATCTGTTTCACATGAAATCTCAATTCTTCACATTCCTGACAAGTAAGCCAAATCTAGCGATTAAACAGCTTTCCATTTAGGTATTATCTTTGTTGATTGAACAATAAAATATCTCACAAATAAAGTGAGATTTATTTGTAAGGTCAGGATTTGAAATAGAAAGTATGCTATACTGGGGCAATCCTGGAATTTAAATTAGAATGTGATCTTTATGGGCATTTCAGCTTTTAGAAGTTACAGTGCTGCTATTCTTTACTGCCACAGCAAGTACACTCCAGTGACAAGTTCAGGCTTGTCAGTGATGGCTTTGTAGCTTGAAACCAGCAAGGGTGGCGTCCTGTTTGGATATACATGAATGGAAGTAAATTCTAATACCAAGTCTTTCATAGTAAAGTCAAGCAAGTTAGTATGGTTATATCAGTGGAGTATTTAATCTCTTAGTGATCATTTGCCTTTCTGTCAGCAACAGAATTTTTTTTTTCTTTAACTCATCCTAAGTTAATTTGCCAAATTTTTCCATGTGGAAAAAAAATTCCTGATAGCTGAGGTAAGTGGTAACTTTCTTTGAAAGAAAGCAAAGGAAAAAAGGTCTGAAACAAAGCTCGCGCACTCTGTCTCTCTCTGTCTCTGTCTCTCTCTCTCACTCTGTGTGTGCATGCATGTGTGTGTGTGTATGTGTGTGTGTGTGTGTGTGTAGTGCATATACGTATTGTGTAGGTATTAAGTATGAGAATGCAGAGTTCTGAGAATAGCTCTTCAGTTTTGTAGGCTGTTAAACTGAACTTTCAGTATTAGAAGTAAACAAGCACTGTGGGAAGGATACGCTTTATAGCTTCAGGTTTGTGTTCTTTACTGTCTTGCTCCTAAGCACTCGCAGTTATCCCAATTGTGTTCTCTTGGATTAATGTGTGTGTAGAGAAGTGTTTAAAAATGTAACCATTCCAGCTGGGTGTGGTGGCGCCCGCCTTTAATCCCAGAGGCAGAGGCAGGCGGATCTCTGTGAGTTCAAGGCCAGCCTGGTCTACATAGTGAGTTCCAGGCCAGCTGGGGCTACAGAGAGACCCTGTCTCAAAAAGACCAAAAAAATATATAATAAAATAAAATTACCATTTGGGCTCTGATTAAGGGTTCTCATCTTTTTAGAGTATGTATATGGGAAAAATAATTATATGAATCATTGTTAGTTGTTTATCTCAATATCTCTAGTAATTTTCATGGCAGAAAACTTTTTCATGTAAAACAGTTTCTTATAGTCTGAGATAATTGATGATTTTTTTTTTGCATTCAAAATTTCCAAAGACTAGACCAATGATAATTAAGTTTAGTTAGCTACTAGGCTTTTAATAGATGTCTACCTAATGACTATTGAATGAATACATAGCATTTTAAGTAAAATTTTAGTTTTCATTAAATTCTTAGACATACATTAAAATATTAAATATTTATGACCCAAAATGTAAATTTGTCAAAACACTTCATGTAACTCTTGAGCCAGCTTTGTTCAATGATACCTGTCATTCTTATTAAATAAAGCAATTATGTTTAAGTACTGTAAAGTTGTTCTGCTTTAACTCTATATATAACTTTATATAATCCTGTAGGTAACTTCCCCATGATTAGTGATGATTTGGTCAATTCTTACCATCTTCTGCTGTGTGCATTAGACTTAGTTTATGGAAATGCCCTACAGTGTTCCAATCGTAAAGAACTTGTGAACCCTAATTTTAAAGGTAAGTTGTATGCCGGACATTTTTGGACAACACACGTTTCTGTACTGTTTACTCTTGGGAGTTGTACACACAGTAAAGATTTGCTAACGTCAGAGAACAGGAATGTTTGGAGAAGTTCCATCATCCTAATTGTATAGAACACTTAAAGAATCAAAGTCTCTATAAATTTTTTTTTTAAAAAAACAAAAGCAGATAACACCGTTTAATCTTAAATGACAACTTTAGAAGTTTTTGAAGTATATACTCAAAAAGGAGAATAATTTAGAAATCTGGAGTAGCAAAGATAACACTAAAGTTGTGGTGTGGTATATTTTCCACCATTGGAAGCTTTGTGCCTGATGCATTGTAGGAGGCAGAAAATAATTTACTGACTCTCATTGCAGTTTCTCTTGCTACGAGAGAGTACAGTTCTAAAGTAAAATAAACTTTCATTTCTAGACTGATGCATATGAGATTCATAAATGATTTTGGCAATGCATTTAGTATGCTTGAAGGTGTGTAGTTTCTATTAGCTATATATACAAATACTAAGTATTTATAGACTGATATATACTACCAATTCCATCTGAATACCAGGAGGAACACCATGGTAGGAACCTGATTGATTGAAACCTCAATTATAATTTCCACTTACCTTTTGTGGTTAGCTTTTGTTTTATTTTTGTTTTGTTTTGTTTTGTTTTCGGTCTTTTTGAGACAGGGTCTCTCTATAGCCCCAGCTGACCTGGAACTCACTATGTAGACCAGGCTGGCCTTGAACTCACAGAAATCCACTTGCCTCTGCCTCCCAAGTGCTGGGATGAAAGGCATGTACCACCATGCCTGGCTCTGTGGTTGGTTTTTAAAATTAATGGAGTATTGTTACTTGAGTTACATAATACTCAGAAAGTTTCAGATTTAGGGTTGCAAATGTATTCAGCCCTGAGTTTGAATTCTAGTACTATAAACAAACAAAAACTTTAAAAAGCAAAGCAAAAAAGTTTTTGATTAAAATAAAAATGGATTTCAGATTTCATTTAAGATTTTTGGATTAGGTATGTTCATCCAGTAAAGGTAATGCGACACTCCAAAATCCAAAAAAACTCTGAAATCGACAAATTCTGGACCCAAGCATTTTGGACAAGGACTACTAAACCTGTATCCCTTTCTTTAATTTCCTTCTTAGCTTCATTTTGTTATTTTTTGCTGGGCACTGAACACAGGGTACCTGTAGCCTCTTTTTTATATTTTTATGTTTTTTCCTTTTACCTCCTTTTGTTTTTCATCGACACTTTTATTCTTATGCAAGACTACACTAAATTGTATGAGTAATTAATATGATCGAAGTCTATAATCTGTGAACTGTGTAATTTAAAACATTTTAAAATTACATTTTATTTGTGTAGGGGTAGCAGCATGCTTGTGGAGGTCAGAGAATGGCTTGCAGGAGTTGATCCCCTCCTTTTACTATGTGGGTCCCAGAAATCAAACTCAGGTCATCAGGCTTGGCAGCAGGTGCCTTTACTTGCTGAGCCATCTCACCAGCCTGAACTGTGTAATTTTTTAAGTAGTGCTTTTTTTTTATTTGAATTTAAGACTTATTTGCAAAATACAGTGTTTTTTAGATGTCACAGCAACAGCCTAAAATTGTTTTTAAGTTTTCTCTTTTAACTATCTTCAGATAGATAATTGTATAACTAAAATCTTTCAAGTAGTGATATACTTTATCTTTGTTCTCATTCTTAAAAATATTTGTTTAATTCATTATTTAGTCACTGATGTGAGGCAGGATCTCTGTAACCTATGTTATCTAGGCTGTCCTTGGAGTACATGGCAATTCTCCTGCCTCAGCCTCCTGAGGGATTTAAGCATAACCACTATGTTTGGGTTAAAATATTATTGGTTTGTTTTGTGTTTTTTTTTTTGTATTGGGGATCTCCAGCTCTTATTTTGGGGGTTTTGGTGTTTGTTTTTTTTTAAGGTATGTTTAAAATAGGTCCCTGTGTGCTCTCTTATACATTCATATGCCAATTATATCTTGTCTATACTGACTGGCATTTATGTTTCAGTTCATTATAATTTAGCTTATTGAATGCTAACCAATACTTCCATTTTGTGATTCTATACATTATAGGCCTATCTGAAGATTTCCACCCCAAGGATGCTAAACCTTCCTCTGACCCACCTTGTGTTATTGAGAAGCTCTGTTCCTTACATGATGGTTTAGTTTTAGAAGCAAAGGGAATAAAGGAACATTTCTGGAAACCCTATATTAGGAAACTTTATGAAAAAAAGGTTTGTAGTAACAACATGAGAATGTTTTCTGGAGAAAGACTTCATTTCATATGACATAAAGATCTCTCTTTTCATCATAGCTCCTCAAGGGAAAAGAAGAAACTCTTACTGGGTTTCTAGAACCTGGGAACTTTGGAGAGAGTTTGTGAGTACTTCTGTTACAGAATTATTTTAATTATATGTGGAGGAGACCTCAGTGCTTATTGTTTTTAATTGTTTTAATACTTTAAGTTTCCTATTAGGGGACAGCAGTTCATTGTTTTTATTGTTTAAATATTTTGAGTTATCAATTTTGGAGACCTCAGCATTCAATGTTATTCAATGTTTTTTGTTTTGTTTTGTTTTGTTTTTTGTTCTCTGGAAAATTTGAATACTTTATGGAAGATCCCATGGGAGCCACAAAAATTTTGTCAACTTCTACTATAAGTACATGTGTTTAAGTTAAATGAAACTTGATTGTTCTTTTTAAAGCTTTATTAGTTAAAAAAAGGTTTTATTAGTTAAGCTCTTGAATTATAAATTTTGATACCAAGAAATGTTTTTGGAACTGGCCATGATGAAGATGCCTGTAATCCCAGCACTTGGGACCTGAGGCAGGAGAATTGTAAGTTTGAGGTCACTCTGTCTCAAAAAAAAATTAAGAAAAGAGAGAGAGCTGGGCATGGTGGTACACACCTTAAATTCCATTTCTAGCCCTGGGTAGGCAGGGGCAGACACATTTCAGTGAGAATGAGATTCTTAAAAAAAAAAAAAAGAAAGAAAGAAGGAAGAAAGAAAAGGGAAAGAAAGAAATATTTTTTGAACCATAGAGGCAAAAACATGGTAGTATGGAGGTCTTTAGAGGTACCTAGAATAGCTGAAGTGCTGTTTCCTATAGGCTTATATGTCTGTTGTATCTTGACTAGACTCACTATATTTATATTTCAGTTTATTATAATTTAGCTTACTGAATGTTTGTTAATATCTATTTTTTTATTATTATTAGCTTATCGAAGGCAAGTTGGTTCTGGGTCCCCTCCTTAAAATGCCGTTGACAAAATACACTCATTCTGTGGCAGATATGCAGAATGAAGCAAGCTACATCTTACTTTTTTCAGTTTTGTAATTAGCAGTTATTTTACTGAAATATTACTTTGAAAAAATTATTAGATCTTGTAGTTGAAAAATGAGATAATTGAGTGTTATAAAACATGAACTGAAATGGCAGTTCTGTTAGAGAGTTTGCCCTGTCTGTTTTTCCCTTGGTAGTAAAGCCATCAGTAAGGCTTATGAGGAATATGTTTTGTCTGTTGGGAATTTGGATGAACGGATATTTCTTGGCGAGGATGCTGAGGAGGAAATTGGGACTCTTTCACGGTGTCTGAATGCTGCCTCAGGCACAGAGAGTGCTGAAAGAGCACAGGTGAAAACCATATTATTGCAGCAACATTTTGACAAGGTGAGTTGAGCCAAGTAGAGAAACAGGCTTGGCTTCCGTTCTATTTTCATAATCCTGTGTGTATGTGTATTTTAAATGCTTGCAGTATGAAAATTCCTATCATACTTACTTGAAAACGTTATCTTACTAATTTTTTGTTTGTTTAATACTAACTTTCAAAGGTTTGGGTTGGGTCAGAGAAGAGCATTTACTCTAAGTGTAGGCAGATGTGTCATGCTGGCAGTCTTTGGTTCTGGGGACACAGGTGGTAGCATACATTGCAGCACAGTGGACAAAAGCACTCAGAAAATGTTAACTAACCTGAAGTGGAGCCTTTGTTTAATAGACCAGAGAACCTGTCAGTCTGTAGTTAGTCTTAAAGAAAATTCTGTTGAACTGAAAGCAATTTTTAGGGTGATAGAGACTGATGACTACAATTTCCCTGCCCTGAAACTGAGAAGCTTTGGACTGGAAGCTTGGTCTGCTTGTTTAATAATATATATGTGTAATTTGTGACAGGGGTCTCACTCTGTATCCCAGGCTAGCCACAAATTAATGGCAATCTTTGTGCCTCAGCTGCTCAAGTATTGAGGTGATAGGCATTAGCCGACACACCTGGCTCATTTAAAATTAAAGGTATTTTTATATGCTAGATTTTTATATCTAGACATTAGAAAATATAGCAGTAGGTGAAACAGACACAAACACCTTGTTTTGAGAAGCTTATGTTTTAATATGGGAAGCTAGACAATAGATAATAAATTATGTATTAAATACATAATATGTTGACTGGTTATATATGAAGAAAAATAAAATTGATTAGTCAAAACACCATAAAGACTTTTATGTGATTTTTAAACATTATTGCTTACCCTTATGAAATGGTGAATTTTAACCAAATTAATAATCTAATGAACATTTTAAAAAATTTATTTATTATTTTATGTGTATGACTGTATTGCCTGCATGTGTGTAAGTGCCTGTGTCGTGCAATACCTGCAGACACCAGAAGGTGTTGGATTCCTTCTGGAACTGGAGTTGCGGATGGTTGTTAGCTGCCATGTGGGTGCTGGGAGTCCACTCAGGTCATCTGCAAGAACAGCCAGTGCTCTGAACTGCTGAGCCATCTCTCCAGCCCCTCTAATGAATATTTTTAAAGGTATTAGAAGAACTAGGGCCAGGGCAAGAGAAGAGTAGTTAAGAGGCTATTTCAGCAACTCTGATATTTCTTGGCAGCTTGGTTTACAGAAATGGTTGTATTTGGGCCACATTTAAGAGGTAGCATCCACAGGACGTACTGATATTTGAATTAGTGTGTCACAGAGAAAGAAGCCAGTAATTGATTAGTGTTGGGCTGCTGATAAAGCTTAGTACTTAATAAATGCCTGTAAGGTCCTGAGTGACCTGGCACTGCACCTCTGCATCCATTTCCCCCTGCTTTCTTTACCCAATCCATTCCTACACATTAACCTCTTTTTTCATTCTTCAGATAAGCCAAGCATGCCACCAGCTCAAAGCCTTTGCCCCTACTATTTCCTCTGCCTAAAATATGTTTCTTCAAGATGATCATGTGGCTCACTTCCTCATTTCTTTCTGGTCTCTAAGTTGACTTCTGTAAAAGAGCAGCCACCAAGAGACTCCAGTCCTCAAGACTTCCTTTCCTCTTACTCTGCTGTTAGTTACTGTCTTGTCTGACAGTAAGTAGGTAGGCAGAATTGTTTATTCTCTGTCTTCCTGCATTAGAATACAAGTTTTATGAGGGCTGTGACCAGATTGTATGCAGAGCTTGCCATACAGTAGTTAATCTAAAGATTTTGTTGTTGATGTTTATTGAGAGGGAAGAGCAAGTCTGGAGGTATGATTAAAAGTGAGGATTATTCACATGGTATATTTGAGATGCCTTTTAAGCATCCTAGTAGACTCACTGAGTAGGCAGTTTAGAAACTTATCACTGGCATTCCTAGGAGAGGTTGGAGTTGTATATATGTTCTAGAGTCACCAGAATGTGGCTAAAATGATGAAATGAAGATTACCTAGCAGTATGAGTTGGTAAGAGAATAAAAGAGACCTAAAGGCAGAGCTCTGGGGTACACCAGATTTTATGTCTTTACTAGGAGAAGGAACATCCTAGTACTTATATATCAGCTCCATATTTATGTCCAAGTTAAAGAAAGAACCCTCTAGGTGAGAGTGCACAGGGAACTTTGAGCCTTTTAACAGTGCTACAGCGTAGAAGCCTCATGTTAACTTTGAGGACTCTGGGCAGGAGGCTGTGGTTGTCACACCTAGTTTCTCCTATGAAACCAGTGCTGCCTGTGGGTTATGTGGTTATGTGTTACTGGTTGCTGTTACTAATGCATGTTGCATAGAAGGTATTTTTCCCTCCCAGTATAGGCACTGGGTCATACATAGTGAAGTATACTACAAGAAAGTCAAGGCAGGCAGCAGCCTTCTGAGCATACCTAATCTACTTAGACCATTTTATGGACTTCAAATAACCATAAGATTAATTTCTTTGAAACAAAATGGTCTTAGCTTTGCTGTTGCTGAAGATATATAGAACACATACATATTTGTTTGTATATAGTGAATTTCTGTGTTTTAAGAGTGGAATAGTTTATTCTGTTAACAAGTAAACATTTTGCTAGGTATTTTTAGAAGTTTAGAATGAGGGGGCTGGAGAGATGGCTCAGTGATTAAGAGCATTGGCTGCTCTTGCAGAGGACCTGGGTTCAGTTCTCAGCACCCACATGGTGGCTAACAACTGTCCTTAACTTCAGTTCCAGGAAACCTGATGCCTCTTCTGATCTCCTCAGGCATTGCATGCACAGGTACACTTATATACCTGTAGGCAAAACACTTACACACATAAAATAAAAATTAAAAAAAATTTAAAAAATCTAGAATGAGTACATTTAATACTCAGGAAAATGTTGAATTTGAATATTAAAAATTACTATCAAGCTAATTTAGCCTTTTAGTTTTTTGAAAAAATTAGAAAAGATGAGAACTGGAGAGGTTAAGTGTACTGGCTGCTTTTACAGAGGACCTGGGTTCAGTTCCTAGCACCCACATGGCAGCTAACAACTACCTGTAACTCCAGTTCCAGGGGATCTGACACCCTCTTCTGACCTCCACAGGCATTGCATGACATGGGTGCACTTACATACATGCAAGCAATACACTCATACACAGAAGATAAATTTAACAAAATATTTTAAAAATTAAAAAAGATGTTTTGTTAGCATATCTACTCATGCTTTAGTTCTTCATCACAAAGTCATGTATTTTTCATGTGCATGTTTAAGAATGTTGATTACCTTGCTTCTCTAAAAGCCCATCCACTTTAGGAAGAAAAACTGATAGAGTCTAGTAACTAAAGAGGGAGGGGAAAGGACTGGTGAAGACTTACTACATCAGATTGCCCTTTTTTTGTGTAATATTTGCCTTATCAAGTAAATTTGATACATATATGGATTTAAAATTTTTATATAGAATATTTTTGGGTAGAGGGTGGCTGGAGAGATGGCTCAGAGGTTGAGAGCACTGACTGCTCTTTCAGAGGACCTGGATTAGATTCTCAGCACCCACGTGACAGCTAACAACCATCTGTAACTCTAGTTCCAGGGGATCTGAAGCCTTCTTCTGACTTCATAGATATTGCACAACACAGGTGCACTTACACACATGCAGGCAATACACTCATACACATAAAATTAAAAAAATAAAATATTATTCAGACTGGAGAGATAGCTCAGCGGTTAAAAGTACTGGCCGTTATTGCAGAGAATCCAGATTTGATTCCCAGCACCCACATGGCAGTCAACAACTGTCCGTAACACCAGTTCCAGGGGAATCTGACACTCTCTTCTGACCACTGTGGGCATTGCACGACACAGGTGCACTTACATACATGCAGGGAATACACTCATATACATAAAGTAAAAATAAATATGTTAAAATAAATAAAATATTAACAATTTTATTTTATGTATGAGTGTTTTGTGTGCGTGTATAGAAATGTACCCCTCTGTACAATGCCCACAGAGGCCAGAAGAGGGTGTCGGATCACCTGGAACTGGAGTTATAGAGGATTGTTGACAGCCATGTGGATGCTAGGAATTGAATCCAGGTCCTCCAGCCTCACTTATATGGATTTTTATTAAATCATGAATTTTTACTTAAGCCTGGTTCAATTTGTAGGTTTCATATGTCAATCTTTGAGTCTTTGTAAACAGAGCAGATTGAAGCTGTGGAATTCTGTTTCTCAGAGATAGGAGTGATGTTCTTAATGTTTTCAAGTGTAATGTTTATATTTCCCTTAAGCATAGGTTCTTAGAGGAGAGGTAATAGGGAGATACACCCCCCACCTGAATATCCTGGGGATTAAATTTGTATATGCTAGGTATGCACAATGCCACTGAGCTATATCCCACCTAGAAATATACCTTATCTTAAAGATTTAACTTTTAAGAGAGAACTTTTAGTTGGCTAGAATATATATTGTTCTTTTATAGTCTTTGGAATGGTAGCTCCTCATGGGGTTAGGTTTAAATTCCAGCAATGATGATATTTGAGATGCTAAAATGTATTGTTATAAAGTCTCATTGTCTTGATTTCCTATTTGTGATAATTTAAAGTCTTTTTAACCTAATAACTTTTGATCTAACTAACTTTTTAGAAATTTACTTAATTTTCTTCTTTAGTCTAAAACATTCAGAATCTCCACACCACTTACTGGTGTGAGGTACATGAAGGAGACCAGCCCTTGTTTGGCTTCCATTTCCACACCTGCACATAGCCTGTGTCGTCTGCATACCATGCTGACAGGCCTCAGGAATGCACCGAGTGAGAAGCTGGAACAGATACTCAGGTTAGTTTTAACTTTGTCTGCCTTCTAAGAGTTGGTTGTTGACCATTTTTCAGTTTCTTACCTTAATTTTTGAGTACCAGTGCCTTAATTTGCCTGTTAACAATTTTTACATTAATTGCACACTTAGTCTTATTGGTCAATAGAAGACATAGCTATATAAGGCATACAAGTAAGCCAGGCATAGTGATACATGCTTGTAATCTCATGATTCGGGATGCTGAGACAGAAAGATCACAAGTCTGAGGCTAGCCTAGGCTATAGAGTGAGATCTTGTCAAGAAAAGAAGAGAAGAAGAGAAAAAGAAAAGAAACGAAGAGAACAAAGAAATGGAAAGAAAAAAGAAGGGTATGTAAGTCGAGGACAGTCCCCTTCGCTCACATTTATTTAATCTGGTATGGGCAGGGTACCCACACTAGCCAGTATAAAACTCCCTTAAAAATAGTTTAATATTGTATGTGAATAGCAAACTTACAGGAATAGCCAGAAGAGAGATAATATTAAAACCATGTTTGAGCTGGCCACATGCCTGTAATCCCAGTACTTGGGAGGTAGAAGCAGAAGGATCAGGAGTTCCTGTTCATTCTCCACTACATGAGTTTGAGGTCACCCTGGACTACATTAAGACTCTGTCTTAAAAAGCTCCTCCCCCCAAACAACCCCCAAAATTTAAATGACCAAAGTTTTTTTTAAGAAAGCACCTGTATATAGGACAACTCAGAAGAATATAGCGAATGAATGGAATCTACTACATGTAAAAAATTAAAATGTGCCCGCCCTTACCTCCGTTTACTTCCCTGGGCTGCACAGCCTCCCGTGTCCTGGTCCCAGCACCTTCCCTGGGTAAGTCCAGTGTGCTCAGTGCGCCTTGACTCCCCCAGCCTCTTTCACCCTCCCAGGTCCCCCCGCCGAGTCTCTCCTCCTAGGTTGGGTACAGGCCCATTTTTTGTCTTGGCACCCCAGACACTGCAGCCAACCTTTCAGCCCAGAGCCACCACTGCTTCCTGATTCTCTGTATCCGGACCACCCCAATTCCTCCCTACCACCCCCATGAACCCTCTAGGCCTGTTCCCTCCCTTACCTCCCTTTACTTCCCTGGGTGACACAGCCACCAGCTTCCTGAGACCAGCATCTATCCTGGACCCTTCTCCCAGGCAAGCCCAGCCCCCAAATTCTTGAGGGCAGCATCTTTCCTGGAGGGACCCATACCTTAGGAGAAAGCCTGATATCATCTGAGCCTCATCTCACTTGGGCCTCTATGGGAAGACAAAAGCAATTAGGCCACTCCAATATAAAATCAAAAGAGAGAACCTGAAGCCTAGACCAACCAGCTTTTCATGCCCAACAAGTAAACCACAAAGATACATAAAGTTTACAAAAGGAAGCAGACCTAAACTCAACAAAGAAGGCTTGAGTCTCATACAAGAATGAGAAAGTACAAAAGGAATCCACATGTCAAAGTCACGGAGAAAAAAAATAACATGAAAAAACAAAATAGCCGGGTGTGGTGGTGCACACCTTTAGTCCCAGCACGCAGGAGGCAGAGGCAGGCAGATCTCTGTGAGTTCAAGGCCAGCCTGGTCTACATAGTGAGTTCCAGGCCAGCTGGGGTTACAGGGAGACCCTGTCTCAAAAAGACCAACGTTGAATTCGATTAGAAAGTGGTTGGCTCTTCCCATAATACTTGTGCCACTATTGCACAAGTGGGCATATCTTGCCACTTGTTGTACTTCACAGAATTCACAACTGGTAAGGTTGATGTTTTCTTTTCCCTTCCTGTATCATGCATAGCAATTTCCCAGCACTGAAAATGCTAACCAGAGGGGATGAGGCTCTGAAGTCAATATCAGCTTTATTTCTCCTCTTGGTTGTACAGCTCATGGATGTACCATCTTCAGCAATAGGCTCTTACTGTCAAGTTCTGGTGGGTAAGTAAGAAAGGGGGCAGTGGCTTGCATTATTTGAGAGTCTATGGGACTCATTCTCAGCAGCTTCAAGATTGGGATTCTTTCTTGGCATTGGGATTTTATTCTGTTAGCTTACGATGTCTAGTAAGGGCAATGCCCCCTGTTATAAAGTAACAACTATTAAACTATTTTTATAATGTATTTGTGTATACTCTAAGAAAATCTTGTAATAGGTTTCCACATGGCTTTTTCTAAAGGTCTTCCATGTTGGTTATCTCTCTCCATACTCTGTCCTCTGGTCAGAGTGTTTTACCAAACCAATAAAATGCTGAATAAGACAGCCCCAGGAGACGGTGTTGTGCCCATGTGCATATGGGCAAATTTAATGAGACTCAATCAATTAAAAGAAATAAATGAACAAATAAATAATGAGGATGTGAAGTTGGGAGGGACATGTGATGGAAAAATGATAGAGATGTTGGGGAAGAGTTAGGGGTGAATAAAATCAAGACCCATTTATATGTGTATAATAATCAAAAAGAGGCTGGGCATGGTGGTGCATGCCTTTAATCCCAACACTTGGGAGGCAGAGGCAGGTGGATCTCTGTGAATTCAAGGCCAGCCTGGTCTACATAGTGAGCTCCAGGACAGCTGGTGCTACAGGGAGATCCTGTCTCAAAAAGACCAAAAAAAAAAAAAATCAAAAAGAACACAAATAAATGACTTAACATTGTAACCCAAGACACTTGAAAAACAACAAATGTAATCCAAACCCAGCAGACAAGAAGAAATAAAAAAAATTAGAGCAGAAATTAATGAAATAGAAACAAAACAATACAAAAAAATCAACGAATCCAAGAGCTGGTTCTTTGAGAAGATAAACAAGATTGATAGACCACTAGCCCAGTTAACCAAAAGAAAGAAAGAACACCTCCAAATCAACAAAATCAGAGAATCTGGTGTCACAATAGACACCAGAAAAATCCAGAACATTATAAGGGAATACTTTAAAAACCTATGTGCTACTAAATTTGAAAACCTAAAAGAAATGGACAGGTACCTAAAAGCATGGGAACCACCAAAGCTAAACCAAGAAGAGATTAACAGCTTATACAGACCCATAACACATAAGGAAATTGAAACAGTAATACAGAATCTCCTGACTAAAAAAAGCCCAGGCCCAGATGGATTTACAGCAGAATTCTACCAGACATTTAAAGAGGATCTACATCAAATACTACTAACCTTCTTGGATATTTAACAGCCATACTTTGAGGCCTATACTAATTTGGTCAGAGGGACATAAAGGACAGTTTTTGCTCCTTGCACTCCTAGGTCAACTGAGTTCCAGGGGACTATGAGCATCTCTCAAAATGTCCTGTAACTGTGGTGAGTCACCTGTCTTCTTGAGTAAGGAGGCTTGGAGACCCCACCAGATGGACCTGAACCAATGTCCAGTCTACAAAGAGGAAGGTCAACATAGAGGAAACATTTCCTCCATATTTCCAAGTGAAGCCAGCCGTGGTCAAGCAGGACCTTTGATTTAATCTTCACACAGATAAAAGAAAGGAGCCAGGTATTCCTCCCAGGCCCATGTTACCCCTGAGGAACAGATCCTCAAATGACCTTAAGAGTAAAAATAAACTGTTTTATCTGGGCCAACTGTAGGGTCTTAAACACCCAAAAGGAAGGTATAACCAAAGATTAATGGGGTCAATATAATTTTTAAGAGTCCATATGTATAGCTAAAAGCTACATAACAAGAAACAATGCCAGGCAGGTGATACCTTCCTTTGAGTTATTGGCCAAGGTGGCACAAGAGACTACCAGACAGTAACCCAGCATAGAACTGGGAAAATGAACAGCAGATCCCAATCTTATCTAAAAGAATATTGACAACTGATTGCTGCTAGATGAGAAACAGCTGACCCTCCTAAAACAAGGATCTCT